TGAGGGAAAATAATGAAATCAGAAATTTTACTTACGCAAAGATGCTGTATCTTCCTAGTTACTTCTTGGACACTCCACGATGACGATGTTGCGCCTTCGCGCTACGCTGACAATCGCTTTGAAAGGGCTCCTCACTCTCTGCTACGATTTCCAGAGGCAATAAATGATTCACTGCACGGTCGACCACCCTCCTTTTGCCTGTTCTGATTCTGGCTGATCTTATATTGCCATCTTTAGAGGTGTGTAGTTCCAAAATGAGTCCTAATGGCCAGCTCGATCTCGGCGCGTCCTCTTTGACGAGCACAACTTCACCTACTCTTGGTAATTTCGTAGAAGACCGGTTTAGCGCGTATAGCTTCTCTTTCTGCCAATACTGATAGGTACTCCTTCTGCCAAACATCCCAAAAACGGTCTAAGTCGGTCTGCAGTGTCCTATAGCGCGTGTTAAGCGCTTAGTTGTCGCTCGACGAGTTCTTAACTTTCTGAGGCAAACTGTGAGTCAAGCGAGCTATTCGGAACTGTGGCGATATCAGATCAATCGGTCGAATAGCCGCATTTGCACTAGGATCAACGGAATTTGTTGGAAAGAGCGGCCTGGTGTTAAGAATGGCTTCTATCTCTATGATGAGCGTTTCGAAGAGCCAGAGATCTAGAGTCTGATTCCGTATCGCCTTCTTCAGCGCGATCTTCACTGATCCGACCAATCTCTCGTAAAATCCCCCTTTCCAAGGCGAGTACGGGGTTATGAAACTCCACTTGATGTTATGACTCATCAGAAATTCGTCCATCTGGGAATCATCCGTAACCGTCGTCAGCTGATTCTTGATAATCTCCTGTCCCAATTTGAAGGTCGGCGCGTTATCGCTGGTAACGCTGTCCGGTGTTCCTCTGCGTGCCATAAACCTTCTGAAAGCAAGTACAAACTGAAACGTAGAGTTGTCTCTTACCACTTCCAAATGCAACGCGCGCGTCGACATGCACGTGAAGAGGCAAACCCAGACTTTATGGCGATCGCAGTTCAGCAAACGGACGGAGATAGGCCCAAAACAATCTAATCCAATGTGCTTGAAGGGACGACTCCTCGTAACTCTTTCAGCTGGTAAATCAGGTGGACTCGGATAAGTGCATGGGCGACCCTGATATCTTTTACAGATTACACACCTGGAAATAAACGATTTTACTATACGTCTTAGCTTGGGTATGAAGAATCTCTCACGTAAAGCAGTTATCAAATGTGACGGTCCTGCGTGAAAGAGCTGATGATGGTAATGCGCGATCAACTTCTCGCAAAGAGGATGAGATGAAAGTATGAGGATGGGATTCCTACTTGTATCGCTCATCTGCGCGTTGGTCATACGCAAGTCAACTCTTATAGTACCGTCCATATCGTATTTCGTGTGGAGTTTCTTCACATACGATCCGTCCATTTAGCGTTGACTTTCGCGATAATGTTCGCGTATGAGTATAAGTTCAGCTGCCGTGAAATCGTCCGATGTTATAATGGGAGTAGTATCTATCGTGCTAAAAAGAGAGCATTCGTCCTGATCTTCGCGCTGAAAGCGCGTCTTGACTCTGTGACAGCTTAGCCAGGTATTTGAGGACGTATGCTATAATACGAATCAACTTTGCGTACGAATTCGTACGTGTAAACGGCACGAAAGATCTATACGTCTCTTGTATGTTACTAACCGAAGCAACGACTGCCCTTGGCACGCGAAGTTCTTCCGATTCTGCTTCTGCGGGTGTTACTTGTGATGGCTCAGAAGCTTTGCAGGGCCACTGTTCGAAGGGCGTCGTGAGAAAACTGGGACCTGTCCACCATATGTGTTGTTGAAGTTCAGATGCTGTCAATCCCCGGGTGGCACAGTCCGCTGGGTTAGTTTCCGTGGCCAGGTAATAGAATCCGGTGGCGATTTCGTCTGCCTTCAGCTCATCCAAAACGCGACGAATATACTTGACACGATTGATGACGTAGGTCTTAAGGGGCTTGTGGGACTGTATCCAGTAAAGGACAATCTGCGAATCAGTTAGAAACCTGATGGAGTGGAATCTAACTTTAAGCTGGCTTCTCAAGAACTGCACTGTTTTCGCTGCCATATGACAAGCTAAGAGCTCCATGCGCGGGATCGTAATAGCGCCGGGTGGAGCTAACTTTGCCTTGGCAAAGAGTAGAGATGATTGAGGCTTGCCATTATGAGGGAGCGTCACGATATAGGCAGTCATGGCATACACTCGTTTGGACGCGTCGGATCACACGACCAGATCGTACGTATCTTCTTCGGTATAGCCAATGAAGCGCGGCATCCTCAAATGAAACTCGCTTATGTCCTGCGCGATCGTGTTCCACTTCTGGATATCCTCATCAATCAGCGTATCGTCCCAGCCATAACCAGACTCCCTCAGATCCTGTATGAAAATCTTGGGTTTTATCAGCAACGGTGTCAAGAATCCTAGGGGATCAAACGTCGACGCGTAGACTTGTAGCGCGGTCCTCTTACTGACAACTGGTTGATATTGATAGGCACGTGTAATACATCAAGCTTAGGATCCCATTTGAGTCCTAAAAACTTAGCAAAATGTCCTTGGATGGTCATACAGCTTTCTTGAGGGATCGCAACTAATGCTTTCTGATTGTTGGACATAAACTCTCGAAGGTTCATGCCCATCCTGGCAAAGGTGTCCTTGCACTCCATACACTTGTCCACACAATCCTGGGTGGTCTTCGATCCTACTATCACGTTATCCACGTATGTGTTGGCAAGGATTTCCTCTTTGAGACGGTTCGCTGGATCCTGTTCAAGAAAGTATCTGATGGACATGCTAAGTAGAAATGGTGATGCGTTTATGCCAAATGGCAGACGCGCGAAACGCATGATACGTAGATTTTCCGTTGAGGGTGTACGTCCTTCAACCAGAGAAATCTAGTAGAGTCTCTTTGATCTTGATGTAAATGAATCTGATGAAATGCTTTCTCCACGTCCGCGATGACAAGATAACGATGGAAACGGCTTCGCATCAGGGTTCCTACCAGGTCGGGTAGCAGGGACGGTCCTTGGTGAAGGCAGTCATCAAGACTAGGGAAACCTTTCTGGTGGCTAGACGCATCAAGGACGATTCGCAACTTTGTAGTCGAGCTCTCCTGCTTGTGAACGGCTTGATGTAGTATGTAATAAACATTGGGGCCTCGCGCGACAACGTGCGTAACATCTTCTATAATTCCTCTCTTCAACTGCTTCTCAAATGTCTGACAATATTCGTCCCATACCGATGGTGTAGCACGAAACTTCTCGTACTGATTTTGCAGTCGACGAAAGGCTAGGGCCTTGTTATCAGCAAGAGGAGGATGATTTGATTACCATGGGAAGGAGACATAGATCTTGCCATCCTCGATCCTGACCGTGTCATAGAAGTGCTTGATGACGTTAGCATCTTCTGCATTCTCATATTCTTCCATCGCAACTGTGTCGAGGCCAAGAAGACTTCGCACAAGATGGTCGCTTACCGGCTCGTCATCCGTAAAGAGGGTCTTGGAGGCTAAAAGGGTATTGGAGACAACCGGGTACTTTAATCCAGATAGAACTGGTCCAAATCTCGTGTGCGACAAAGTCAAGCCAGATGGTAACTTCTCGTTCTTGTGAAAGTCTACAACCCGCCAATAGTTATCAATTCCAATCAACACATCGACCTCGACTCTATCCTCGTAATCGACGATGTCACTGTCGTTTCGAGTATTAGTCCGTGGGACCGTCGTGATGGTCTCGCGCGTCCATAGCTCGAGTTCAATCGGATAGTTATACTGGTCCCAGAGTACGAGTGTGACCTCTGACGATTCCTCCGTAAACTGATGACCTCCGAATGTCAGAGTTGTGACTTCCTTTGTATTGCGGAACGGTAAGCCTAAGTGTTTGGCTAGCGACGTACAGATGAAGCTGTACTGCGAGCCACTGTCCAAAAACACTGTCAGAAGCTCATCCGTTCTTGTTCTATAATTCTTCGTTACAGCATGTACTACCATTAGGCGTGGCTCCTGGTGCACCGACTCTTGAGAACAAACAGAAGCGCATGATGATGGTGAATGTGAGCCTACACAAGCCTGTTGTTGATCAAGAGGTTCTGCTTGCGCGTCTCTGGTAGTACAAGGTAGGTCAGTAGTACGGGTGGCGCTGTGTACTGCGGATGTAGGGCTACGTGATCGGCGCGCGGATGGGGCACGCCTAGCTGGTGAAAAAGAAGACTGTCGTCTAGATGAGATGGCGATTCAGAATGAAGATTGCGCGATGGAGATGCGCGTGAGCGGCTTGCGCGATGGAGATGCGCGTGAGCGGCTACTATACTCGCGAGGTGGACCACAAGTCTCTCTTTGAAACTGCACGCGTCTGGGAGGGTAGGATCTCTCAGGACCTGGGTAAGAGGTCCTTCCACCAGATGGAACTGGTAGTTGCGATGTGCGTGAAAAGTCTATACAGAGAGCCGTATGGTGCAGTCTGCCACAGTATCCACATGGTGGTGCATTACAATAAATATAAGTGTGACCTTGTTCCAAGCACAAAAAGCAGAGCTTATGACGACTGACGAACAATCTACGTTGCGCGATATCCTGCACAATCCTGCATCGCTCTGAAGAATGTCCAAGCTCATAACAAAAGGCACACTGAGGCTCGTAACGAGCTACATGACGTGGTCTACTGGGACTGCGCGACGTAGTGCGAGGATAGTATGGAGTTGGTGGTCTGTTGTGCCTGCTGTAGGGTGATGGTGTGCGCGACTGAGACGAACGCCGAGGGTAGTACGATGACGTGCGATAGCGTAAACGCTGGATCACTGCGACTCGCGCTCGGATACCTACGCGGCGAAGGAGAAGATTGACGAGATACTGCTTGAGAATTATATGAATGATAATCCGATGGGTCAGCATCCTCCACAGTTTCCAGTCTATCTATGATGGTATCCAACGTCGAAAGCAATTCATCCACTGTCCACATCGAATCTCCCTTCGTCTTTTATTCGCCAATTTTCTCGCGCGTACGTCGAGGAAATTTGGCACAAATGATCTTAAGCGTGCCGATGGCGCTAGAGTCCTCCTTGAGATGTTTCAATTGGGACCATATGGCCTTGATGGTGCAAAGTGTCGCGCGTTGCGACAACGGCGATTCTGATGCTGGTGACTGCTGCATCAGTTTGTCCCAGAGTCTATTTCGGAGAATCTCCGGCCTTCCATACGTATTAGTCAAGGTCCGTACTGCGTCGTCATAGTTTTCTGCCGTGGATTGAAAGCCGGCGATAAGACTCGCGGCTGGACCTCGTAGATGTGATTTGAGGTACATAAACTTGAGTGATACTGGCACACTGGTGTTGTTATGCACCGCTGTCGAAAAAAGATCCCAAAATTCTAAAAAGTTGTCGATATCTCCGTGAAAGGTTGGGATCTCGAAAGTAGGCAACTTCAATGACTGTTCCATGGATAAGTAAGGAAGGTTGGAGTTAGGGATTGATGAAGAAACGAAAGGATTCGACGGGGGAAAGGTTGAGAAGGGGTCTGCAAAAGTTGAGTGGGATGAAGGGATTTGTGAGGGGTTGTCGAATCCTTGCACGACGCTCTGCACACGTGCGGGTGGGGAAGTCCGATCAGCTCGCGCAACTGCATCCGGATCAGCTGGGCGATCCTGGTCATGCGACGAAGAATGGCTCGCGATTTCCATTCTCACATCCTGCGGTGGCTGACGGGTACAAATGGGGTCCAGGGCCGGATTAGGAGTAAGATTACAAAGAGAGGGAGGAACAGTAGAAGCGCGAAAAAGATACAATGCCTCCGAGCTCGTCAAGAGTTTGATCGCAGCGTCGACACGATCACGGAGAGTTTCAGCTTCCACAAGTTGATCCAGTTCATTAGCGTCCCAATGCTCCTGAATCTGTTGGAGGAAGGGAAACTCGTCCTGCTCGTCAGAATGCTGACACGCAAACTCTTCGGCCTTCTCTCTCTGGGCGCGAAGTGAATCAACAGTACGAACAAGAACAGTAAAATTGAAAAATAACAAACTTTTACGATTAAGAATGAACTGTGAATCCCTACCTGCCTCCGTGGTAAGATCCACCGGTTCCAAGATGGCCTCATCGAAGTCCGCGATCTTCTTACGGAGCGTTTTGGCGGCCTTAGTGATCTGAGCTTGTGGGCACCAAGCATCGACATAATCTGAAAAAGAAAAGAAAGGAAAACAATAAATAAAGAATAACGATATGTACATGAGCGATAAATATGAAGTGGTTAACATATGAGAAAAATGACTAGCCCTACAAAAACATAAATGGGATGAACGGCGACTGAAGTTATCACAGGCGTAAGGCAAAAAAGTACGTCTGGGTGTCACTGAAAAACCTGCACGACACTGAGTGGCGCGCGTATAACGAGGTGCAAAGACAAGTGACCTGCCGGAGGTCGGCCAGAAACTATCCAGGGCTCCTACGGACGAATCGGAGAGGCACCCTCTGATAACCCATGTGCACTTGGACCATATCCTAATAGTGAACCGTGCGTCTTGCAGCTGTCGCCATCCTGCGTTGCTCGCGTCCTGATGGTACTTTCCTGTCTCCTGCGCGACAGTTCCCAAGTTCCCTGCACGGCTGCTCCCTGCTTGTACTAGAGGTGGTGGCGAACTAAAGGGGCGTAGAATCAGAGGTGCAAGTGCGCGTTTTGCACCAGAGAAACTTACCTTACGGTACCCCATGAGACACTACTTTAGAGGGCGACTACAGGTCCTTCATTGGGCCAGTATTGTAAAAGAGAGAATAGAAATATGAGGTAGGGAGTATGCTACGGGGTCAAAGCTAGCCGGGTTTTAGAAATACTAAACTACAGTAGAGTGAAAGAAGAGAAGGTGGTGTGAAAGAAAGACTAACTGGGTTTGGGTTCTAGGACCCTCTAGTACTGACCCTAACCCATATGCCCCTACTAGATGCCCTAAATGTATTAAAGCCCAAATATTACAATATACTAAACCCCTTAAAACTACCCCATGCGAAAACCCCAAAATTACATTATGTGGCCCGAATCCCGACTCCCCGGTTATGGTCCAAGCTCCTATTTCTATAGGACGGTGCCGATCCCATACCCCTGCGCTTCCCATCGCGTCCGAGGATACAGCTCTATCCCTGCGCGTCCACCGATACGACTCTGCGCAGCTCCTTTCGTCCAATCGATCCTCCATTCCATCGCCTTCTGGATAGCGCGTGCAACGATAGAATACTTGCGCGTTCTACGATACAATACTATGTACGCGTACAACGATACAATACTGAAATCGCGCTAACTTCCATCAACCCATCGATCTTCCACATCTCCAACTTCCTGCAGCCCTGACATCCAACGTCCAATCCTTCATGGCGCGTGCTCCGATACAGTTCCTGCGCGTTCGACGATAAAGCACTGATGATACGCGTACTACGATACAGCTCCTCTCGCGCCCCCCTGATCTTATAACGCGCAAACGTGCTCAACGATACAACACATACTGCACGTGCAACGATACAATTCTAAGCGCGCTTCGCTCTATCCAGTCCCCATCTGCTCCTTCTTCATCGTCCATCTGTCCTTCCAGCAGCTATCGATCCTTCAATACGTTCGTCCGGCGATCCTGTCCATCGTTCCACCCCCCAATCGCTCCTGCCAACTTCAAAGACTCGACATGTGCACGTGCTGGCACCATCTCTCTGGCGCCCCCGTGTCGAGCCCGTCAGATAACGACACCGGCCCTCCACCTGGATAGCACCTCCAAACACAGCAGGCTGACCAGGTATCGCATGGCGTAGGCGCTCGACGTCGATTGGGGTTCCAGTTGGCAAGTTGCCACAGTCTTCCGGACTTTCCCCCCCGCGCTCTGACGCCATGCTTCTCACCCTGGCTAGCCCCGCTGCCTCGCTACTGGTTACGTAGATATTCACTCCAGCTTCCTTGTTTGCCTGGTCTTCTTATTGCGTGCTGAGCGTGGTAGACATCGGGTCCGTTACGCACGCATGGAGGATGAAAAAGCGCGTCCCCGACTGACGCTAATCCCAGCATTCCAACGGTGTTGTTTCCGTGCTCGATCAGCTGAACTCCATGCGCGGGCGGAAAACATCATCCACCGTGCGCTCGGCGTCGATGCACCATGTTGGGCTCGATGTGCTCAGCACCCCTCGGCCTAGTGCTCGTCCGCCTGACAACACAGCTCCGAACTCCAGGATGTTCCACTTCTGCGCTAGTGTGCGCATTACCTAGCGCGTCTGTTCGACGCCAACACCCCTACCCGTATAAACAAACAATCACAACACGACTAGATTAAATCACATTTACTAAAACATAAGAACAAACACAAAAAACCTAAAACTACTAAAAGGACTACTACTACTAGACAAAGAAAATGGGCACGGGACGAGCCGCTTCGTCCCGTGCTGCCGATGCTCCAAGAAGATCATCTCCAACGTGTAGTTCCGGGTCCTCCACTGGGTCAACCGCAAGCTCCTGGCCCATACGGGACGGCGTGACCCCTCTCCACTCCCGCAATCCTTTCCTTCTGCGCGATAAACCACAATACTGAGCTGCGCGTCTCCAAACACAAGATGACAAGGGCTCAACCGCTCGAAACCGATGATCATCTGCGGGAGCTACTGGAGGCGCTGCATGGTAATATCATCAAATAATCGATAGCGAACGGAACTCGAAGAGGCGTAGACCGCGGCCTGCGCGCCCTTATATACCTTGTGACTTGGCAACGCGACCAGTAAGGGAGAGGTCTTGACGCGAAATTGATAGCGCGCCAAGTAACGCGGCAGCCAGCGCTCCCGGCCTCCTGTTTCGAGGAGTGGCTTGCATCGCGCGAGCCGCGACACCATGTCACTTCGTGGCCCAATATTTGAAAATCTCAAAATTCGGAAACTTGGTGCTCGGGGGTTATTTGACATGCTTCTTATGATAATGATGCTCTTACGCTTTTAAAGCTCTTTGATTGCGTTTACTGTACGTATATGATGGCACTTGCAGTTGCAATTGCAGTCTTGGATTCGTCCGAAGGAGGCGGACCGAAAAGAAAGGTCCCAATGTTGCTTCTGAGCAATCTGAGCGACTGCTCCGCCCTTTCTTTTCGCCCCCTCTCCCGTTTCCGACTTTGCCCTACAAACTGCATTTCCGAAATCAGCCGAAAGGATAAAGCTAAACGAAAAAACTTTTGCTAGAAATTTTAACTAGACGCTGATCAATTTCGAATGTTTATCATAAGGAAGTCAGATTATGGCGAAATGCTATTCAGAAATCAAAAGCTGATGAAAAAGAGCTCTCTTGAAGCTTCGTGTGATTTGTGACTCTGCTATCCGAGATACGTAAATATCGTTCAGCGATAGACATTCACAACTGACCGGCAATGGTGAATAAATCTGAAAGTGCAGCACACGTAAGTTGTCAGTGTTTACCACGCCTCCAATTGACACTGTCCCTCACCAGACTCTCCCAATTCAATTTTGTAACATTGATCGGGGTTTTCTCAATTGTGCCATGACGAGTGAGACTGCAGGAAAGTGTTGAAAGGAGAAACCGCCGTCTTAGTTACTGCAAGTGTCATAGTGGTTGAAGGCGTGGGCTTCTTTATTCTCAGTAATCGCAGTAATGTGCATCTGTAGTCACCAACACAGAGAAGGATAATGGCTGGATCAAACACTGCAGAAGAAAGTGTCATAAGCAGTGGCAGGAATTTGAAGATGCTAGAACAGATAATTAAGAAGGACCCGGATAGTAGAATGAAAAAACCTCGGTGGTGAAAATCCCATAACCACTAGAAGAAGCATGGTAGTCCGAGGAGCATATGCCAGTATAAAAGGTATGGATGCCTTGAAGAAGTTTACACTATTCCATTACCACAACTTCAATCTTCAATACCTGGACTGTCAAAGCTATGAGTAGTTGCTTTTGAAGCACGTTCGTTTGTTTGCTCAATCCCTTCTTTCGTAATGTCCTCGCCGTCTGTATTCCACAAAGCACCATAACGAGAAACGTAATAAACATCATAAGCAAGACCATCGACAAACCCATTGTTGGCTTCCAGTAAATTTTCGTTTTACCATTCGCTACCTCCTTCAAACAAATGCGCTAAGAACTTCTGCTTAATCCAAGAAAGCACAATCAGAATTATCTTCTATTACAACTTACATGTGTTAATACACAGAAATATGACAATTCTTTCAGGTCACGGTGAAGGAAATCACGGACAGCTTGTGCAGCATAATTATAATATTCTAAACTGGGTTCATAACAATAAACCACAACAAACATGTATAGGAAGCCCCAGAAGAAAACGGGAATTGACCATAAAGCAAGATTGTATTTCTCAAAGTGTATATGACCCTGCGGTCTGTAAATGGTTGTGATAGAAAAAAACCTTACTTTCTTATCTGAACTAACCTGCATACTAGGACGTAACGATAAACGAAATGCAGAACTAAAAGCGCTGTTTCTATTCCGTGCATAGAGAAGAAGATATATCCCAACCATGCATCTAGTAATGGTATGTTGCCAAGGTATCCATTGTTGTAGATCAGAAGCGAATGTCCATATATGTAAATGACCTAAATGATAGAAAACATTAATCAAAGTGACGAGATGCATGGAAAGTGGAAATTTCAACTCTAGTAAATAATCGATTAGCAAAGAAGACATGAAACGACAATACTAAAGCCTACCGGTTTTGTGAGAAATTCCAGACACGAGTAAAGAATATTACAAATGCCGAAGGATACTAAGAGGAATCTATAAGTGCCAATAGTTCTCTGTCCTCTTTTGCATGTAATATAGATGAACAAAGAGTTGAGAAATACAGCCAGCACAGCGATTGTTGTAGAGGCAGGAACCAAAATGCTCTTTTCGTCCATCGTGGACCGGAATTTCGTATGGATGCTTCAAATGTGACGAAAACAATTGTGTGGGAAACCTAGTTAGTTGATCAAACGGACATCATTGCTCTTGTTGTGTATTTCTTAAAAATTAAAATAGCTTTTGAGGTGAGAACTTGAACGCGCGCGAAACTCTCAGTGGTACTTTTCCGTTATCCGGACCCATTTTTCAAGAAGGATATGGCTCTTTTCCTTATCATACTTGCTCCCAGCTTCATAGGAAGTAGTCTCAACCTTCTGCCACGTATCAAAAAAAATTTGACATGTCATCTACGTGTTTGACAGGTTTTAGCAAAAGTTTATGTTACGCGCCACCTAGCGACGTAGCGTCTGCGCCCCAGAGAGGTTCCCATAGGCCCTGGGCAGAGCTCATGCGATTTCGTCGCGTCGCTCCCTATCATTTTGGACAAGTGTTCCATGTCACGCTGTGTAGTGTGTGGGTCCCGACGCGTTTGTGATGGTTACGCGGCGCGACGGATCGCGCCACCCTTTTCGGCGTTCATAGCTCACCTAGCGATATCGTCGCGATTTTGCTGAATCGGCGCGATGTCGCATCGCTCGTTTGCGGCGAGCGACGGGGCGACCGTCGCGCCGCTCCTGAACTGCTTTTTCGATGTTTTTGTAGTAAGTTGCTGTTTTTTGCATGTTAAGAGTGTTTTTGCATGTATGTTATGAGTGTTTTTGCATGAAATGTTGCAAATGCCAAGTTATGCCTATCCTTTCTTTGTTTGATGAGGGCAGTTAGTTTTTGCATTTTTTCCTGTCTTTCAATATACATTTCCCTACATCTAATATCCTAGGCTGCCAAAGAGATTTGAACAAGCCCTACCCTGTTCGATTGCGCATCGAATACTTGGAATGTGCTCACAGTCTAGTAACTCCGAAATATGAGCTTTGCATAAGATAATAACAGTATTTTCGTCTATCATGTGCAGCACGTGGGGAGTTTGTAGAGCTCAAAACATCGTTTTGCCGCGTAACGCTTCTTTCGGAATGTCCGCAGCCACTGAGCCTTGCTGGTACTTCTCCCCTATTCGTAATTGATGCTTCCCAACAGTCATTCAATTATGAGCCATTTACCAGAACCACGATGTTGTCAACTTCTTCTTTCATTGTTGATCATTTGGGTGCATAAGTTGTGATTGTTATCAACTCGGATTCTAATGTGATAAACTTTCAAACTTCCTTTGTCTGTTGCTACACCTTTTTTGAATGGCAGTGATGTAGTAAAGTCAACGAGAGCACTGATTTTCGGTAATGAATTAGAGTACGTGCAATGTGTGAAGTGTTGTGCAATTACATGAAATCGCGTCGGAGGTATGCACGCTTCCGGCGACTGAGCGACTCAGTCGTCGCGTCCCAGTCGCCACTTTCGTGCAAGTCGTCGCGACTGGCGATCGCGCGACTTCGTCGCGTGAGCTCTGCCCAGGGCCATAGGTACCACGTCGTCTCGCTGCCTTTCGCACTTTTAAACGTGTTAACCTCGGGCACTTCCGTTGATATCTCAGGGAAACGTGTCAAAAACAGCGAAAGGCAGCGTCTTACCACTTACGCACGCTGGTTCTGGAATCTCTCTGGGGTGCAGACGGTAAGTTCAATCTGTTTTCCAGTCAATTTTGCCCTCGTTTCTACCATACAGTTTCAAAGTGAGCATTGCCATGATAATAACACATACTATTATCAAAGAACAGATCAGACTTGCTCTGAATGGAGAAGTGCGCTACATTCAGATATTTAGAAGGCGAAAGCAGCAGCAAGTAATTCAAGCTATCAATTATAGTATTTCCTGGCTAAATTGGCATGGAAAAACGGTTTGAAGAGAAGGAAATTCTTGAATCTCTGCTGAAAGAAAGCAAGATGTTTTAAAATGAGTTCATGATTGTTTTACTCTTATGTAAAACAGTCAAGCATCTTCAAGGTAATCACAAACTCTCTTTTACCTCACCGGAAATGATTTCGGAAAAAAATGACAAAATGGACCAAAACGTGTCATTTTTTTTGTGGCAGAAGGCAGCAGTCCTCTAATGTCTATAAAAATTATTCCTGTTAAAAAACTTGTTATATGAGAGCCTTTCGAAAAATGGGTCCGGATAACGGAAAAGTATCCTCACAACTTATAAACTTCAATTCAATAAATAATAATCAGCTCTGCCATTATTCTGCAGAACTTAGATGATTAATAAATTTGGACGTACATCTTCTTTCCGCCAAAATATAGAACTTGAATATTGCGAGTTACTTTGTTTGCTCAAAAATTTTACGACAAAGTGAGGTCCCAAACTTGAGATCCCAAACGTTATATTTTCAGCTACGTAACTGTCAGACAATTTTTGGGAAGTTGCCACGTTACTGCACAGAGACAATTCAACTCACAATTTTGGTTAGACTCGTACCCAAAGTTTTTGGAACTTCTATTAACAAGGACAATAATAATAGCGCTACAGCGTATAAAGATGTAACAGATGTAAATGCACATTAAATTCAAGTACTGAAGGCTGTATTTACATATCCACTTCACCTAAACCCAGCGGTAACTGAAATCAAGATTTATACTAGTGAAAAATATTCCTTGCAATAATAACATTATGAGAGTAGGTGCTCAAATTAGATGACTGTGACGCATAGCGACTTCGTCTATGGTTAGATGATTCAAATATGATGGATAGAAGCCCATAGCGTTTTTTAGCTGGTAACACGCAAGTGATATGCAAAAGAGCATGGTTGTAAGTAGCCCATTAGTGTATACTGATAGAGTGGACGACGCTTAAAAGTTCAATTATTTATCGCATTTCACAATAATTAGAGTTAGATACACTTGAAACATATTTACTAATTTAGTAAGTAGTGAATTTGTTTTGTTGCTTTTTTTAGGCAAAAAGACAATTCATGCTTTGGCTGGAACATCATAAGGCAAAGAGATTGTCCTTCGAAGCTATAACGCGGTAGTTCTATGATCGAGGCCAAATTTAGTCTACTGTCTTGAGCACTCATTCTGATTCTTCGGCTGTTCTCTACATACCAAATGAACAAAACAATTAGTGAATTTTCTATGGTGGCCGTTCTAATAACAGAATTCTGTAAATAGTTAGGCTTACACTGCATCTTTTGCAGGCAACAAAAGAAAATAAATGAATGACATTAGCTGTGCTTGAGTTGCGGATGCTCTAGAAATAAGTGAGACATCAGTCGTTATGCGTCTAGCATATGCATGTGATAAAGGTATCAAGAAAAATACTATGAGCACCCATCACCTTAGATGGGTCTATGTCAACCTTACAGCGTCTCAGCCCGGGTTACAAAGCACTTGATTTTTGATGCGCTGGATACGTCAAGTGTGCACCTTCTTGGAGAACATTGTGCCAACTTACGTTTTGGCCAAGTGAGTCAATTATCGCGTTTGAATAGGGTAGTGGTATAACACCAGCGGTCATTTTCGCAGAAACACATAATTAGATGTCGACCGCTTTCAAATATTTCGGCTACAAAACGGAGGTAGATGGAAAATTATGTTATTCTGGCATAGGATCTAATTAAAATTTATGATCGAATGAAAGTAAATAGAGATTTTTGAACCTACCTGAGCCTATTTACTCAGCAAATACAGAGAAGATTGATTTATCTCCTACCTCAGCCTTTCAGATTGTGTGGTGTGCGTCAAAAGGCGCGTAAAACGCTCTAGAACATTTGAAGTTTGTAAGGTGATTCAATAGCCGCATGGATTGTACAGTCTTATTGCCACAAAATAAATTCAACACATGAATGGTGAAGTTCAAAAACCCTTCGAAATGCAACTAATGCAAATTTGCAAACGTTTATATAGCTTGATAGTTCCAACTTTTGTATAATTCCAAAATTCAAAAAGAAGATCTCAAATTTTCTCGAGTATACTGCTATTACATCGATCAATGGAGACATAAGCAAATGAGGTGTGGATCTCGCTCAGTGAATTTTTATGCACACATGTGGCTTGATCAGCTTTGGTAAACTGTAAGCAGTTGGCACCGTATCGTTGAAAGAGCTGCAACTCAATATTTTGCTCAAAGCGTTCAGTGGCAGAGTATTTTAGCCATGAACGAGATTTTTCTTTCTTGTGTAGAGATTTATTTGGCTTACCGTTCATACCCTTCAGTAACGTATTAGAGGGGTTGCTCGTTATCCTATAAATGGTGAACAGCAACATTTTTTGTTGTTGCGAGTGTTCCACCATAGTTTGTTGTCTTGTGGTCTAGCATGCTGTTAAGCGTTAAGTGCGTAATCTTCTACAGGCATATGATTCCTGTATTCCTTTTATTTCCAGAGCAAAGGAGTTTTTCGGGACCTATCAAACAACGCAGTAAGAAGAATTTTGCTAGTTTTTCTAGGTGCATTGAGTGTGTCATATACTCCTGGAACTTCATGAGCTCTACGAGGGAAAGTGGGTTGAAAGACACGATTTGTTTTTTTTTTTGAAGATGATGATGTACATGTTATGCTCATTTTTTTGAAAGCAAACATCTTAACGTTCCAATTTGAAATGATCAAGTTGTCCTTTGCCTTAACTAGTTAACTTTGAAAAGTAGTCTAGAAAAGTCGATGACAGCTTCTATTCCGCGATGTTCTGTTTAGTTATTTATTTCAAATAAATGAACTCATGAACTTACAATGAACGCAGTTTATCTTGCGCAATTTGCAAATAGCACTGCGATATGATTTTTCCAGGTTTGATTTTCTGGATGGCGCAATTTCACCGAATTTTCTCTTATTGCACAAGATCTAGGTTTGTACACCATTTTGAGAATCGGTAAGTACACTGGATGACGTAGGTGACCCCTGACGAAGCCCACATTTCAGGCCCTTACACCCGTAGCGTATGGGAAAACGGCGGTTTTCCATATTGGCTATTGTATAAGGAGGGCAACAAACCCGTACGAGTGAAAAAGGGTATGCTAAAAAAAATTATTTCTTTGAAAATTCAAAAATGTCTGCAACATGTTGAAAGC